ATAGCTGAGGATCCTAAAGTGCCATTCGTTTTGCTGCTGGTCTGCTGAAATTACTGCTAATAAGGACAGTAAGTAAAACCAAACATTGAGCTGGAAGCTGCTGACATACAGATTTAAGATAAGATGAAATTCAACATTAGGTGATAGCTCTCTGTGGTTTCATTGCTACAATGAATTATACATCTTGATTCGTTCCATAAAACATTGATAAGAGAAGCTATCCACAGTTATTCAAAACACATCAACTGTTGAAGTTTCAGCAGGTAACCTACTGTAGCTTGGTGAAGTGCAACATCTGCACACTTGCAGGAATGTAATGACGTAGCAACCAAGAGATTTTGAGTTGTTTGGATGTGTGGGGTTGGAAGTTTTCTCTTGGCTTTACGTTGTCAGAAACAGATGGAGCTGAAGAGTATGTTTACCCTGGACTCTCAGCTTTGATATGCAGATAGGAAGTTCACAGAGAATGAGTGATGCTCTCGTCTGCGCTGCGTTATAGGCCAGAGTAAACACAGTCCTTAATGGACAGAAGAGGGGCACAAACACTCAGACACACCTAAGAGATGTATCGATTCCTCATTTCCTATTCCATTTTACTCAAATTTAAAGGTCACAACTTCAGGCTGGAAGTCATCAGTGAGCAACCTACTGTCAAAGCCTGTAGCTCTGTGGCATGGTCAGGGTAAGTGGCAAAAGACAGAAAGCAACAAAAATAGAGACTAAGCAACTTCAGCTTGTTGCTCCTAAATTGCTTCATTTGCATTTTTACCATTAACTTTATTTAAAAAGAGGAAAACTGTGCTGGATTAGGTGGAGTTTAATTAAAAAATGCAATGCATTTTTAAGAAAATTAAGAAGATTTTGCTGAAACCATAATATTTTCATTTCTCAGCTTCTGAGACTAATCACTTATCCTACTGGTGGGTTTCTGGTTTCGTCTGCATATCGACTCTGATTCACATGAAATCTGAAAAGACATCTCTATTAGCTTCACCCACAATTCACTGCCTCTTTATGAATATGCTGCTGTGACGAAAGGATGTGGAACAAATAGCATTAGCACTATGATGTTGCCTTATCTAGGTCATGATATAACCAGCCTATCTCTGAGTAATCCTCTTGTGGCTGACAACGAATGAAAGGAATAGAATAATAAGACACTCGATTGAGATGTCAGAACAGTCTGGCAGAATGCTATTGGGGTGGAAAGCAGCTTTTGATAAGCGCTGATGCCTTTGTTTAGGCAGCTGGGAGGGAAAGATGGACGTGTTAGTGCAGAGCTCTGCTTATATTTGGGAGGCTGGGGCTTTCCCTTTTCTCTCTCTCTCTCTCTCGCCCTCGCTCTCTCTCTCTCCCCCTCTCTCTCCCTCTTTTGCTCTTTCCCCATGCTGCCTCTCAGACAGCTTTGATCACAGTACCCTTTGAAGCAGTGTTCCAAAATGAAAACGAGGAGAAAGCAGAAGTCATCGCAAGTTCATGCCTAAACTTCCTGCAACTCCAAGCAAAGTGCACATCTTCATTACTGCATATGCTCTGACGGACCTATGGAAATTATTGATGGGGGGTTGGAGGGGTGATTGGTCATAAATCATTAATTATCATGCCATTATGCGTTGTTTCTACTCATCACCACTTTAAACCCTAACGGTAAGTTCGCTGATGCTCTCGCTGTTTCAGATTTCCACAGTAGACCATCCCTGATAGAAATAACCTGACGTTTCTGACCACAGCAACAACCGCAGCAAAGAAAAAAGCAACACTGGTTTCCTTCACTAGGGACCCTACAGTAGATGCGTGAGTCTAAGAGGAACACCCATTTTGGGAAATGCACTTGTTTTCCTTCAGACAATCTGATAATAAGATCAATATTCGTTTCATGTTCATGCATCCGCTGCAGAGATGGGAAAAGGCCCAGTCGAAGCAAAGACAACACACAGGAGGGTACTGCTTTTGGTAAATGCTCAGCCTGCCTCTTTCTTTTTGTTTGATTTATAGATGTAGTACTTACTACATGATCACAAAAAAACCTGATCAAATATTTTACTAATTGATTTTACTAATTGAAGTTAAATTTTGAAATATTCCACAGTTACAGCCCGCAAAAGTTATTAACAACTGAAATTTAATTAGTTATTTTATTAATCATTTAATTAATTTTTAAGATGTTGTTGTTATATGTTGAAGCTTTTTTATGCCAACGATGCTTTTGATTGCAGGATGTACCACATATGAGAATTCAGTGACTGCATCATAGCCTTCATCTGCACTCGCATTAATTAACCTTAATGTCACCATGGTTGTTGCTTAAGTATTATGTGCATGCAGCCATGTATGCTAAAGCTGATGTTGCTGCTAAAGAAATCACAGGAAAAACACTTCATTAGTTACAGCTTGCTAGTCCATGGTTTCAACTTTTTGACTTCAGAACTAGTTCTTAACAGCACAGATTCAACAAGGTACTGGAAACAGTCCTCAGAGATCAGTGTCTATAGTAACATGATAGCATCACACAGTTGCTGCAGATTTGGCAGATACAAATCTCTCTTTATACCATATCCCAAAGGTGCTCTATTAAATTTAGATCTGGTAACTGTGGAGGCCAATGCATGTTACTGAGTCAACTCAATAACATGCATTTGTTCTGTGTGACATGGCACATAATCCTTCTGGAGTCAGCTATCAGAAGATGGGTACACTGTGGTCATAAAGGGATGGACACTGTCCGATTGACTGTGGTGTTTAAACTATGCTCAGATGGGCAGGATACAAGACAGGATACATCCATGCGTTCATGGATCTATGATATTTGATGTATTTAGCTATCCAACTGTTGCAGCAGAAATCAAAACTCATGAGACCAGGTGTGGTTTCTCCAGTCTTCTACTTTCTAATTTTGGTACACCTGCATGAACTGTAGCCTCTGTTTCCTGTTCTTAGTTCATCAGAGTGGCACCTGGTGAGACCTTCTGCAGCTGGAGCCCATCTGCTTCAAGGTTCAACAAGTTGCTCTTCTGCTTACCTTGATTTTAATAACAAGTGGTCATTTGAGTTACTGCTGCACTCCTATCAGCTCAAAGCAGTCTGGCCATTATCCCTCAACATCCCAGCCTAAAGAACTGCTGCTCATTAGATATTTTCTCTTTTTGAAACCCTTTCCTGTAAACCCTCAAGACTGTTTGTGGAAAAATCCCAGCAGATCTGCAATTTCTGATGTACACAAATGCCCATCTGGAACCAGCAACCAGGTTCAAAGTTCCTTAAATCACCTTTCTTCTTCATTCTGGTGTTTGGTTTGAACTTCAGCAGGTCGCCTTGGCCATGTCTACATGCCTTAACGCACTGACTTGCTGCCAAGTGATTGGCTGATTAGATATTCGCATTAAGAAATAATTGAGTAGGTATACCTATTAAAGTGGCTGGTGAGTGCGTTTCATCACTATTCTTCTTTCACAGTTCTTTCATATCTCTGGATAGTTAATTTGATTTGTTAAATTTATAAACAGCATTTGTCAGTTTAGGTTTATTAGAGTGAGGATCAGACATTGTGATAAAACACGCTAACACAGACATCTTTTTCAACTGCCAAGTGGGTTGAGTACATTTGAGAGAAGCAACTACTGGCAGCCAGAGGGGATGAAAAAGGAGAGCAGAGATGGAGAACATATAAAAGGGACACCATGAGAGTACTGCTCCTAAGCTGGCGTCTCATCTGGAATCTCTCCTGACAGACTTCTGTGTTGTTTAACTTGAGATGATTGAGAGCGAGCGAGAGAGAAAAGATAAATAAAAGGAAGATAAAAGAGAAGAAGATAAAAAGAAAAAAAAATTACACCCGAGGAGCAAATAAAGGCGATATTAGAGCCTATCCTACATATCAGCTGTACTAATGACTGCTGGAGTTCTCTCTGTAATGCTCTGAGTAACTACATCACCACAGGGTTACTACATGAATTTCACCCCAATCAGCTGTAAGTCTATAAAATATAGTAAGGAACACGGAGTGCTCTTCAATTGTAATCATGCACTGTGGCTCAATTTAGCTCCTGCCATAATTACAAGTAAGTCTGAGTCTTGTAATGAAAGGGAAGGTTGAAGAAAGGTTTAGCAAAAACTAGGTGTGAGCTAAATTAGCTGTGAAACTAACAAATGAAGGCAATTAGCCAGCTAGCCCTCCATCATTGTCTAATTGAGAGAGCAGGCCAAAGACCATCTGAACCAAGTAAACAGTTTCTTTAAGTCCTTTGTAATCTGTTCAGTGGATCACATTTAGGTTATTTTGATTGGACTAATTGGAAATGAAGCATCCTAACAAGAAGCTTCTGTACATTTTTAGGTATCAAAGGGCAAAAAATCAGACCTAAATACCAGAAATCCACAAACGGTTTCATTTTACAAGAAATTACTTTCCCATTTCAGCCACATAATTGACAGAGTCCAGAGAGGGATCTCATGAGAGCCAAAGTAATGATTCCGAAAACTCTGAAGTGATACACACAATCCCTTCCTATTTGCATTGTTTGTGATCACGTAGCAGAAAAGGATGGCAACGAAGGAAAGTGAGAGTGTGAGTTGAAATGGTGAAATAAAAGAAGAGAGAAAGAATGGGGAGTGAAGCGAAGAGTAAACAAAGTGGACAAGAGAGATGAGACGATGATGAGGGGGAGGCGGGACTGAAAAGGGATGAAGAGAAATGGGGATGGAAAGGATCAGACAAGGATGCAGGATCTTAGAACGAGAGGAGGGAATATCAGTCCTGTAAAGTCAAACTCTTGCAGATGACTGGGAGGCCCTGGAGATCTGTGAGCATGACGCATCCTCTCCTCTCCTCTCCTCTCCTCTCCTCTCCTCTCCTCTCCTCTCCTCTTCTCTTCTCTCCTCTCCTCTTCTCTTTGCTTTTTTAGCACACTGTTAGCATACCGTACTTCTCTAAAATGAGTGCAGACAGGAACACACACAAATGCACACACACACTCAGAGATACATCTCGGGCTGCTTCTCACCTTGGCAGTAGCCGTCCATTTCCTCGTGGCCAATACTACAGACACAGCGGCCCAGTGGTACCAGCCAGTCTCCATCAGCACCACAGTACAATTTGGGCGTGTCCCTCTCTTCTGCGTTCTCCACACACGAACCTCTCACTTCCACCAAAGAGGATGAGTCCATTTGTGGCACTGTTTCAGGAAACGCGGCCAAGTTTCTTAAAGTTGAGGGGCACCGTTTGTAGAAGACCTTATGTGAAAGAGGAAAACACAGTGTTCAGGTTAAAGAAGTAATACTGAGTTTATGCCCAGTCTATGCGAGACTGAGTCATGCAACCCTGTTCACTGACCTTTACAGACACAAGAGCAATACAAGCTCCCACATCTTGGAAGGCCAGGTAGAATCCCTTCTGTGTGATGGGGCCCACTTCCCTGACCTCGGTGTTAAGTCGAAGGACACGATCTCCAAGATCAGTCTGTGTAAAGCTTTCATCCGCTGCTATGGTGTCCACCTTAAACCAAACACACGCTTTACTCACGTAAAGTCACACAATGACAGTTCTGTCACATGACAAGAATAAAAACATGACAACCTTAGCATAGTCAGTAGGCCGGAAGCGTGTGCTGTCGGGGAGCGGCCCGTCTGTCTGCAGGTAAAAGAGATTGAAGGTTTCCTTACAAGTACCAGAAACCCAAGGGATGGAGTTGCAGTCTCTCAGTGTAAAACGCAGCTCCACATATACCTGAGGTAAAACATAGATTAAACAATTACGTCAGTATAATAACCATCAATAATTTCATACAAGTGTGTTTATGTTAAGCCCTTTATTTAACAAAACGAAGCCCATTTCACAAGCTCTCTTCAAATCACCCTAACTCCGTTTTTTCTTCTACAGACAAAATTTAAATGGTTTTGGGAAGAAGAGAGGACACACTTTAAGGGGATATTGTACAAGCAAAAATGTAAACATAATAGGACTCTATTAGCACATAGGAAAAAAAAAAATCTCCTTCCCCATAAGAAACACGAAGATTATTGCTTTATACTTTCAAATTGTGCTTCATTTGACTATTTTTATTACTCTCTAAGTATTTTTTAGATCAACATATCCACTAAAATCTTGCATAATTTTTAAGTTAATACTGATGCACAGCCATGCTAACAAACTTGTTTTTATGAGCGACACCGAGCAAGGTAAGAACAGTTCAGCATGTTTCTCCATTTGTTGTGCAGTAGCCGTGCCTCAAGGGTGGAGAAGCCGAGTGAGCGCAGGCCGCTGTGGTGGCACACGATGCCTTTAAACAGCTTGACAATGGCGTTAGTCTTGCCCATGGCACTGATTGGCTAATCATTACTCCTCCCCTGAAGCTCAGTGGACAGATCGTTCTTCTATCAAGAAGCCACTATTTCAAGTCACGATGCCAGACGGCTCAGTCCCCTCGAGTGAGCGAGTGCATTGATTTAACAGTCTGTATGCGGGCAATTCTCAGTCTACAAAAAGAGGTAAATGTGAAACTTGGTGCAGCAACATATTTGTGTTTCCCACCAGCCAATGTGCACAGAAGGCATCTTACTATATCTTTGTTACAATAGACTCTGTGTTGACTGTAATAGAAATCGGTCCTTCTCCTAAGCAAAGTGTCAGGTTCTTATAGCTATTTGTCTGCATTTCCCGGTAGGTTATACAGAAGACTGAACTTCCTCCAGGGAGTGTGACTCTTTCTCAACCTGGGGGCAATGTCAAAACCACAAACAAAGATTTCTATTCAAGTGTTTGTCTTTGCACAAGTTTTGTGATGTAGTCCTGACCCTCTGTGCAGCTTGTCGCTGGATCCACCCAGACCGCAGCCAGTTGTTCTGGTTTGGCTCCATTACATGGCAAACCTGGAAGGTGTGTATAGGTCTGTTCTGTTCATCCATCTCTGTGATAGCATCCCACTGATTAAAACAAAAAAAAGGATAAAGTTATTATGTGCAATGTGTCACGACACTTTAACTCTATCATTTGCAAAATAAAACTAGTATTTTTGTTAGAAAATTAATATTCTGGTGTATACATAAAACAAACTGTTCAAGCTACATTCATAAGACCTGTGTCTGTTCTGGGTAATCAAAAGAATCTCTTTAAACCTGTTTTATTCATACTCAAAGCCAAATAAAATCTTTCTTTCATATTTTTAGTACTTTTCCACCTTTATTATGACAGAAACAGAGGGGAGAGATGACAGGAAAGTGAGAGCAGAGGGAAGACATGCGGCAAATGGCCCAGGGCAGACTTGAACCCGCGCTGCTGCATTAGCCTCATGTCGTATGGGTCACTTGCTTAACCCGGTGAGCTAAAAGATACCCTAAAGCAAAACAATTTGTTTATACCACACACACAGTCAAAATAAAACACAAACACATTCATGACACAATCGTCTTTGGATTTTATCAGTCACACTGAGACATGACAGGACATTACAGACTCTAAATTTAACTGTAAAATCAAAGGCAACATGCAATTCATTTGATAAGGTCAGCATCAGGTCAAAGCCAGGACACAGGGCAGACTTTGCTGTCATCCTCCTCAAAGAGAGTGCCCAACACTTCCTCCTTGTGCACCATGCTGAGCTGAGGACATGTTTGAAAGATAAAAGGCTGACACTTGTTGGTGCCTTCAAAACTGAAACTGTCTTTAGCACCTCTGTGTTTCTGTATTTCGCTGCCTTGTTTTAAAGGACCTGTTATCTTCTCTGTATTTCCTGATAATGGTGGCCACAGAGCATCTGCTGAGATTGGATTGTAGTCTTTGTCCCGATTCCCTCGTTGTCATTCCACCAACTAGGACCTGGTCTGTCACAGCTACTTAAATTTACTCTGAAATTACCGGCCTTCCTTTTTTCTTCATCCACCGCCTCACCTCCCCCACCTCTCAGATTTGTTTCCATCCATAGCTGGCATCCATAACTTTTAACTTTTATCAGGACTTACCATTGCCACTTGTGGTTACCATCACGCATCATACGTACAATACATCACTGTTAAATGTGTTTTACAGATGTTTTTTGGGGGGGGAAATGAGTCAATGACTTGTTAACTATAAATTGTTTAAGGCTTTGACTGATTTAATAAATTGGTTAAGGACACTGAGCATTTGGTTTTAAAAAGGGGATTTAGTGTTTTACAAAATCAGAAAAACTGTAAACCATCAGTAATTTGTGGATTAGTGAGGATTAGCTGATATGGATATGGGTATGGACTATAATGGTATAGCAACATATTAGCATCAAATGTGCTAAAATGGAGATTATATTAGGATATTATAATAAACGCACTCATGAATGATCTAGTTTCTGAGCTGCTTTGTATAATGTATATAAGACTTCGTTGCTTGTAGTGAAACTTAATCTGTATAGAAACATGACATTTGAGAGACACAAATTCTCTCACCAATGTTTTCAAGCTGTTGCATCAGCCAGGCTCTCATTTGTCTGCTCCGCTTTAACGGTGTGATGATCAGAGCTTCAAAAGCCCTAACATTTATTGACAGATCCTCTTTCTCACAACTCCTGTGGCATTACATGGGCAGCTGTGATTGTGCCAGATGCACAGCTGGACATGTAGTTATAACTCAAGAACATGAGACACACTGAAGACATGCCAGTGCTTTGACTTGAGTCTGAAACTTACAGCATGTAAATCATTATTTCTATTGTATGAATGGTGATAAGACATTCTGTAAATGACTTTGCTAAAAGAAAATAATTTATTTTCTGTGACTAAAAGTCAAAAGGTCAAATTGTCATGATTCTGGGTCTGCGACCATGACAGTAATTTGTGTTTTCCTGAGACTATTAGTGATTTCTGGACTGAGGTTTAAGATATGTATTTCCTAATGCTTCTGAGTTTGCTTAGTTCTCTGCTCCTTGTTCAGTTGAGTCAGTTCCCTTTCATATCTAGTCTGTCTCTGTCTTGTCCCTATGTTTCCGTGTCTCTTTCGCTGTCTCTTGCTCTCTCTTGCCTCCGTCATAGCACTGTGAATCAGTGTTAGTGATTTCCTGTTTTATTGTGATAGTCACTTATCCGGTGTGCATCGTGTTCAGTTTTTCTTCCCTTGTGTCATTAGTCAGACTTGGATCATCTGTGTTCCCTGGTGTGTTTAATCTCCCTGACTTCCTTGTGTGTATTTAAGTCCTCAGTTTCCTTAATTCTTTGTCCCCGTTGTTGTCGTCTTATCCCCTCTGATTGTGTGAGCCGTCTGTTTGGAGTTTTCCCTGTCACCCGATTTAGCATTCCTGAGTTCCTGCTTTACAGTAAATTGCTTTATGACCTGTAAACTAAGCAATAAAGCTGCTCTTTAGTTCAGACCTGCTTCTGAATGTTGGATTACTGAACTTAGAAAAGATCAACCGGGTGCAGAGTCTGCATTGCTTACAGAGATGGGTGGTGTTTGTTCCTGTTCCTCTTTCCTAAATTCCTCACATACAATGTCTTAAATAATCAAGCCCCACCTTATCTTAACGACCTCATAGCACTGTATCACCCCAAAGATGCAGTTGGCTCTCAGACTGCTGGTTTACTTGTGGTTCCTAGAAGTTTTAAAAGTAGAATGGGAGGCAGAGTCTTCAGCTTTCACGCCCCCTTTTCTGTGGAACCAGTTTCTAGTTTCTAGATCTAGCTTCTAGATTCAGGAGACAAACACCTTCTTTACTATTAAGATTAGACTTAAAACTTTCCTTTTTGATTAAGCATATGATCAGGTACCCCAAATCCTCCCTTAGTTAGGTTGCAATAGGACTAGGCTGCTGGGAACTTCCTATGATGCTTCTTCACTCGGGTTTTTCAGTCTTCACATGCGTATATAGCACATATAGCACAACAAACACCGCTCACGCCTCACAGACGACAGCTTACAGTCCTGCGTAAAGATGAAAGTGACTTCGTACAGCCCCGATTTGCAGACGCTGTGCGCAGAGGTTCAGGAGCAGAAGTCCCATTGTAAACATACCACGGCAGACCCGACGATGTTTGCATGAACATGCTTTATAGCATCTCTTTATTGACCACTTTTCACACACGGTTGCTGTACGCATACAGCCGGCTGTAGCTTTGCAGCTCACAGCCCGACATACACCAACACCAGCATAAATGGCACAGACGTTAAGGCGGCGAGGCGTGATTGCGGGTGCCGCTCAGGTGCGTCTGGGTGGCGGCTCACAACAGTTTTTGTTTGCTGGATCATTTTAGTTCAGCTGTGTGTCTTTCCTTTTGTTATATTTCTTTAAGAGTTCAAAATGTGTTAATTACAGAAATAAAATGTAATTTTCTCTGTAGCACTTCATGGATTTCAGAAGCAGCACACCTTAGTTGCTCTGTGGATTCTTTTAAAAAGCAGTTAAAAACTTTTCTTTTCAAACAAGCCTTTTGTTGATCTACATATTTTATATTCTTTACATTATTTACATTTGATCTTTTACATTGTGTATAATGTCTATTGATTGTATTGTTTATTTTAATATTTGTGTACAGCGCTTTGTGACTGCCTGTCTGTGAAAAGCACTTAATAAATAAACTTTACTTACTTACTTTAGTTGTTCACACAAAGCATAAAAGTAAAAAAAAAACAATATACAGTGTTATCTTCAATATAGATTTCAAAAAGGAGGCGGCTCCCAGTGTTTTCTTTTGCGTGGAAACCGGGTCCAAGTGGCTCTTTGGGTGTAAAAGGTTGCAGACCCCTGGTCCAGATATTTTGCAAGCAAATGGAAAATAGGTGCAGTTATTTGGAATAGTTTTCCAGGCTTCTTGAAGGACATTCAACGCTCTTTATTTGGATTTTGCCCTTTGTTCTGTTTTCCTTCAATGATGTTGAGGTCTGGGCTCTCAGGAGCATAGTCCTCAGTTTCTTTTGCTGCTTTGGCAGTTTGTTTTGATTCTCTGTCATTGGCAGACAAACCTTTTTCTAGACGGTGAATCAAAATCTGATGGTACATTTCCTCATTCATAATTCCATCATTTTTGACAACATCCCCAAAACCACTGGCACATTGTACACATTCAGTGTTGTAGCCCTCTCCCGAACTCCCCCATACAAACATCAGAACCCTAAGAACCCAGGAACATTTTGCACTGCACTGCGTTTCAGATCTGCACTGTTGAACATTATCTCTGTCTTCTTTCTGTCTCTATCTTTTACACTTGTCTGTTTCATAAAATGTATTCATGGCACAGACAAAAAACAATACAAAGGTGAAGCGTTTGACAAGCCTCATCTTAGCACTGTATTAAAGACTTTCTGCTAATAAATACTGTCATATCATGAAAGGTTTAGATTTTTTTAAATTTCTCAACAGTGACCAGTGTCTCCTGACAACAATACCTTACTGTGGGTCCTATCAGAAGGGAGACAAAAACAAGCGGCTTTATGCATGCCTTATGGAATAGTGGGGACTTTACTGTATCTCCTAGATAAGAGAAAATGCATATATATGCGAGAGTTGAAGAATTCTACAAAATAGGGCATTTCATGTTGGCCAGATACAATGGTTCTGGATTGGAAATAGAGGGTTTGCAGAAATCCCTGAATTTGGACAGCACTTCTACACAGATTTCGACTGCAAGGGAGTCACTATCCAATAAGCCTCACTCTGGAAGCCTCCTCTGCCACTTCTTCAAAGGGTGGCGGGGCTGAAGCTTCCTCCATGATTGCACACTATTATTTCCAGGTCACAGACCAGAGCGTGGAGATCGTGAGAAAGCCCAAGTGTCTACACTGAAAACACTCTGTGGCTGGTTATTGATTTCACACTTCGCCATTATGTAAAACTGTATCTGTGACATCCACAAAATGGGGTGTTCAAAAAGAAAAAAGAAGTAATATGCAGTGCTCCTGTGTTGAGAATTTGATATGCATACATTTTAAAACACACTCACACATATCCACACACACAGGCAAG